AGCATGTAACTGCTTGATGTTTAAATCTAAAGAAAATATAGGCGCTACCTTGCAGCTTAAGAATGGCTAGAAGAATTTCGACGCGGCCATCAGGGCCATGGTAGCATAATTGGTCAGTGCATTCGCCCGGATTGCGAAGGATGCTGGTTCGAATCCCGTCTGCTGCATTGTCCGCGTGGAATTTTTTCTAGTTATATTTTCTTAAGATTTAATAATTTAAATAATTAACTATTTTTATATTTAAACAATTACATTATGTAGTCCGGTCAATTTAGACATTCGAAGCTACCTAGCTAGCTTGGTGGGAATTCAGGTAGCTTTACTCTTATCTTTTGGTCTAATTTGACCGGACTAATTGTTTGGAATGTTCTTAAAACAAATAACTATAAGAAATATTAAAAATTCTTATACATAATTGTTTCTAACTTTAATAGAAGAATTATATACGAAAAAAATATCAAGCTAATAGGACAATCCAGATGATGTATGTAAATAATAAATATGATATCAGAGGTTTCCACGGATACAACTACATCCTACTTATTAAGCAACTACCCATAGCCCTGCCTCGGATTAACTCATTTTCATTATCATTGGTGGAGATGCTTTGTAGCATAGAAGGTTCTTCACCAGCTTCTAGACCTCCGATTGGTGCATCACTTGGCGGTGGTATTCTAGCATCTAATGCAATGTTATGCAGCACACAACATGCATTAGTGATTTTGCTAGCCATGTTAGGGTGATAGTGAAGAACTCTATCTCGAAGCATACACCTCCAACGAGCCTTGAGTAATCCAAAACAGGGTTCAATACGAGACCTGGCTTGGACATGACGTCGTGTGTAACTGTCTTCCTGGGATCCTGGTTCAGCATTTAATACAGGCGCCATTAACCAGGGCCTCTGTGGATACCCAGAATCTCCTGAAAAATAAATAATTTCCAGATTATGTATATTTATATTGTATCTATAAATGAATTTATGTGCATATAATTTTTACCACGGGTTAAGGCAGAGAATAATTCAGTATTAAATCCACCTTTTGAGTTGTTTTTAAAGGTCAGGAAAGTTTTATGCATAAATAAACAATGTATTACCTAATAACCAAACATGTTCACCATTTTCATGAAGCCCATGCATGTATGTCTCCACGTGGCTTGCAGACCATATGTGGGATTCATGTGTAGCTCCACCAAATTTGGAGTTAACATTTATTATTTTTAAATCATAATCACATATCTGGTATGAAAAACAAATAAAAATAAGAGAATTAGGTCCACTTTAAAATACTTAATCTGATATAATATTTTTCTTCACATTATAAAATAAGCCAAATATTATTTTATTAATAAGTGAAAAATAGAAATAAATAATATAATAATAATAGAAAAATAGGGAATTAAAGGGAAACTATAAACAACATTAATTCAAGTTTCATTCTTTCTTATATAAATGATTAGAGATTATCTAGCTGCTTACCATTTGCACATTTAAGGAATGATATCCTTTTCTATTAAAAAATATGTGTTCTTCCTCGCTTGGTTTGGTTATAGCAATATGGGTACAGTCAATGCTTTGTCAATGTTTCCTTTGAAATCTGTAAATAAGGTACGTATTTACCAATTTTACAACAAAAGTTAGCTTTAGGAAAGTTATAAATTATTTAACCTATTTAAATAAAAATATGTTTGTACTTCTCTTTGATAAGTGATCTCTCGTGTGGTGTTTGTGGAAACACTATCCACCTGTTGGTTGTCCAATTGTGATTAAGGGCGTTCACAACCTCTCTGATGCAACGACTTGTAGTTCGTTGTGTCAAATACTGACCCACACCCACAATCCTTTGGTATGACCCTGTAGCTAAAAAGCTAAGAGTACACAGCACCTGGAAATAGAATAGTGCATTGTGATTTATTTTAAATTAGTACTTACGAGGTTTTATTTTAATTTAGGTACAGCAGTTAAAAACTACATTATACCATCAAATATACTATCAAATGTTTGTACGAAGTTAAGAAAATCAAGATACTTTGAAGATAGGTTATAAAGTGCAATGACTTATTTTTCAAGTACAATTTAATTAAATAAGTTAATGTGAAATTTCTTACCTTTATCTCCAGAGGAATTTCAGAGGAACCACTTAATCTAGCATGACCTTTTAGGTCGTCACATAACCGCCTAAATGTGATTTTATTAAGCCTGAAATGTTGGATAAACAACAACTCAGGCATATCTTCAATTTTTTCTAATTAAAGTCTCAATCATAAACGCATTTGGCGTCTCTTCCAGATGGTTTCATTATGTGCTGCCCACAGTAAACGTAGTGAATGCATTTTAAATACTTTGATTTACGATTATTTGATATAACTTAAACAAAATCACAGCTGATGAACAAAGTCGGCCATGTTGTTGTGTTATCTACAGCGTCTTAGCATTCGTTTCGTTAACGATTTCGAAGATCGCGATCGCAGCGAAGACGAACGTCAAAAGTGCAGCTTGTCTACGCATTTGTATGGGATTAAGCGTTCAAACAATTCATTATTATAACGTTTCGTTACGAATTGTAACTTTGTCTACCAACTTTCGATGACGATGACGATTGACCACGTGATTTAGCGAGGCTTATGTCAGTTTCATACATTTTATTAATTTCGAACTTCGTTATCGTTTTTAAATTGTTACTTTGTCTAAGCCCCCAGATATTATCGGCAGATAACGCGCCTATGGGGGGAAGGCTTTAAGGTGATATTACGAAGCTAAATTATAAACTGCGACCATACAGGCAGCATTAGTCGAAGAATCATATTGGCTGATAATACTTCGACATAAGGTCAATGTATGCATTCATGAGACTTATGTTGGCCGAATTTCGTTTTTTTCGGATACAATAATAACAGTAATCGTATTTGGCACCGGCAGGGATCTTCGAATCAGCACCTTAACTTTTTTGAATCTATCAAAGAGTTTCATTGAAAATTTATGTAAGGAAAGTCGTAAAATAGGTAAACATACGACTCAATCACATAAGTAGAAGTAAGTAGGTAAGTATTGTTTCACAGTTTGTGCCGCATTTAACGTTGGTTGGCTTGTCAAAATGTCGGAAGAAAATGCCCGTTTTCTGTAATGACCTTAATGAGATTCAAATTAGAACCTCAGAGATGGCAACGCCAAATTGAGCATCATCACCTCACAAACAGAAATTGTTACTGTTAATTACTATTTTAATAAATTTCGAGATCTAAACGATGTGAATAATATTTGACATAAGGTTGGGTAGTTTTCAATACCTAACTTTTTTCAGATTTCTAAAGACAATATTCTGTAAATGTTTATTGTCTCGTCTTTAATTAAATAAATGAATTATTCATATCTTGGCATGATCGTGATATTAACAAATACGAGAAATCCATAAAATTATTCGTCATTCCTTCTGCCTGAAAGAGCAAAAATTTGTATGTTCAATAATATACTAATTTTGTTCTTGTCGTCTTAGAGCGGTCATACATAAACTGCTCGAGCAGTTAGCAGTTAGTTTCAAGCGTGTGTGTCCGTAGAAGACTGTAGTTCACTATGCAGTCACAGCTGGAGCGTAAACATGCAAGTAATCCAAAATATAGAAAGAAAGAAAAACATTTTATTAGCCTTCACAGCATTAATTTACAAATAACAAGAAACATAGATTTAAGGATAAAAGATAAAAATATAGGGTTACCAGGACCTTATTCTGTCGCAACCGGTTAAAAATCCAGATTTTAGGACCAAAGTTCAGTCTTTTATTAGAACTAATAACTATTCCTGAAAAACAAACGGCCTAGAATAAAATAAAAAAAAAACTTTAAAGATAAGTGTAGATAAGTAAGAGTTGCATTTTATATGTATATTTCACTGCTCTCATCTCATCTCCGCCAATTTTATTAAGAAAGTCTTCACAAGACGTTTCTTGGAGAAGTAACACTGCGGGGTGTAACTTACACTTATTTGTACAGCGCGGTAATGACAGTGTAAAGCGCGATGATGACGAAAAATCCGGTGTCGAATAAAATCCATTCAGAATCTGGTCTAAGCTCTTAAAATCCGGTCAAAATCAAATTTATTCGGTCTGATGGTTACGTCCTATCCAATTATCCAGGCTCCCTTGATGACAAATGTAAATCATATCCAAACTAAACTCGAAGAAAATTATTAGTTCATTAATTATTTTAAGTAGGTATATCTAGTGAACGAAAACTCAATAAGAAAAAATAAAAGTATTAGCTGTCGGAAGGAAATCAAGATTCTATTAAACGTTGAGAAAAAGGCAGATATTAACTTTGGGCAGCAGCGAAATTGATTCGGTGGAAAACAATTTCCTGAATCACTTCTACGGACAATATGGCCGGTCATTTATCTTGTTTATGGCCTGTCTTAACAGCTAAATAGCCAATGTTTGGCAGATGTGTATACGTCGCAGTTCAAGTACTGTTATCATGATTTTATAATTGTGATTTTTTTGTAAGGTACTATTTTGCAAGTATGACTTCAGCCAAATCAATGCACGATCTCTAACATCGTTGTGTTCTAGCTACAACGGTTTCCATACGGAACCAATCAATAGTACCTATCCATGTATCAGTGCACATAATCTCAAAAAGCTCTAATTGATGCCAACTCTGTAAAACTTTTATATAAACCTTTCTCAATAAAAATATATAATAAGCATCAAACTGTGATAGAGATATTGTAATATTTCAATGTTGTTAAATTTACAATTATTTTTGTGATTATAAACAAATTAAACATCCAATCCAAAGTACCTACTAATAAACAAATTACCGGAAAGAAGTCTTAAGTAAAGTTATGACAAAAATGCTAAAGAAAAGCTGCATCGCAATGCATACGTATGCATAAGTGTCAATAAAGAAAACTGCGCAATGTTCAATGCGTTTTCTATATAATGTTTGTATAGACATTGTTTATAGGGGTAAGGACTAAAAGATGTTGATTTATCATTATATTTGCTTACCTGCCATCCCTGCAGGAGCAGTGAGCGATCGACGGTCCGCAGCCACATAACCGCATCCCCCGCTTGGAAGTCACGCAAGCGGTGGCAGCGGGTATGCAGGAACATGCCCAGGCACTTTAGCAGCTCCGACGTAGACGCTTGGATGACTGTCTTGCGCGGCGCGACCACCGGCCCGACCACGCCTGTCGGCAGCTTCTCATAGCACACGTTATTGTTGAGTGCGTTCGCCCGAGCTACCTCCGTGGGCGGCAGAGGCGCGGGCAGCGGCGTCGGCCTATACACACCCTGAACGCTCACATTCTTGTTCCGGTCCAGGGGCGCGTTGTCCGTCAACGGCGCCCGGAACGTGCTCACACTTTTGCTCTTGCATTCCAATTTCTTTTTGTTGTTGTTCGCCGTAGAAAACCGCTTCCACGACAGCGCGTTTATGAATAGCGAGTGTTTCTTCAAGTTTTTCTCTAGGGCCGTTTTTTCGGAGATTATTTTGGCAGCGTCGTCGAGCGTGGCGCGGCGCTCGTCGCGCGGCAGCTCCCTGTTCTCGCGGTTCTTGGCGTTGTTGAGGCGCTCGTAGGAGTAAGCGAGCGCGGCGCGGTCGGGCTGCGGCGCGGCGGCGGGCGGGCGCCGCTCTCGCGGGCTGAAGCTCAGCACGGTGCCCATTAGGCCCGCGCGCGTGCAGCTAGGTGCCCGCATGCATCACGTGCGCGGCCGTCGGCGGCGGCGGCGGCGGTGTGTGTGTGGTCTCGATAGCCGCGCGCACGCGTGCCGCCCGCCTGTATCGACCGCGGCGCGCGCACCCAGCTGACTCTCCGCCCGCGCACCACCCTTACGGCCCCGGTAAACAAACCCTCGGCTGAGCCGTGGATACAGATCGACTTATTAATTTCAATTAAGTCTCGCCCCGATGACCGTTGCCACATAATCGATAGATCATCTTAATCTGTAATTACGCGGACCGCTTCTCGCCTGTTTGCAGATGCATGGATGACTACAGTTATATAATAATGCGGCACGGCGGCCGACCGCTCGCACCCCGAACGTAATAGAATTCGAGTCGAGTTACTTCCATTGTGATCGCGTACGATTTTTCCCGTCGAGCTTTGCGCGTCGAATGTAGGTTGACTCTCTCACCGGCGTGACCCGAATACAATTTTCATTAAAAAGCTCTGTGCTGTTATAAAAACATCCGCACGGCGAGAGCTTAAAAGCTTTATGGTCATGAATTTGAATCCGGTACAATTATTTCTTTAATTAACGTTTTTCTTACTTCGATAGCTACGTTATCATGCTTATGTCTACTTTTATTAGAGCATTGTGATTTGCAATATAAAAAGATGGTTACCCCAATTTAACTCAACACCTTCCTCAAACGAAAGTCTTAGGCGTAACTTATGTCGACATGTCTATTCCCACACAATGTCTGCAACTTAATTTAAAAACAATATCTAATTTAAAGGGAATAAATGTTTTTTTTGTGGTGTTTTAAAACATCCAGACAGGTTTGTTTTTGAAAGAAACAAGAGCTTTAATTCTAAGACTCGCAAAACAACTCAGATACAATCTTGAACTTTTTATTAACCTTTCGTGACTCATAAAAGTCTTGACAATCGAAGTCTGCCGATGACGTTTTGCTTTGAAGATAAAAAAGGAACTATAAAGAAAATTACAGTAGAAGTGCTTAAAGCAATCTCTGTGTTCCAAATACCAATTTACGATTGTCATTTCCTTACGTGAAATGACTACCACTTAACATTGTATATATTTGCATTGCTGTTGTATATATACTTACAGAACAAAGTCATTCATTAAAAGATATTCTGTATCTTCCGTCGATGAAAATAATTCGTATATTTTTAACTGCTATTTTTCTACTATCATTAATTGCAATTGTTTACAAACATCCTGACGTTTGCTGGCGATTAAGAAAAAAAACTGTTTGAAACTTATGAAAAATCACTTCTATAAATACATTTGAAAGAGGTGTATTTTGCACCCGCCACGATAAATAAAATAAAATTATAATTTTTGTTTGTTCCAACTATAAACAATTTTAATTTTCAAAGACTGAATTTCATAAAGTCATGTATGCGAAAGATACTCCGCCTTCCTTTCCGCGTGTTGCTAGGTCTTATATATGTATTATATAGAATACATATATAAGTATATTTATATAGACATACCTATAAAACATCCATGACTGGAGTACAAGTGCTCGTATTCATTACACAAACATCTGCCCCCACCGGCATTCAAACCCGGGACCTCTCGAGTCGGAGACACCGTGAAACTCGGCGTACAAACCACTAGGCCACGGAGGTCGTCTAAACACAACCTACTTTTGGTGGTGTTATGTTTCCGTCAGTGGGTAAGGTTCCAGTGCCCCACGAGGTAGGGGACTGGGTCCAGGCAGGCCACGGAGCAAGTGATATTTTTGGTATCGCAAGCGTCTGTAGCAGCGGCACTCAAACTTTTTTTTACTCGGGCTATACGTCCGAGTACCAAACTATGCCTGTCGTCTGGCTTAAACCATTCTTCCCCAAACATATACATGCGAAAATTCGTAGTCAAAAACTTAATGCTTATATATCAAAAACAACATGACGACTCCGTGGCCGAGTGGTTTGTACGCCGGGTTTCATGGTGTCGCCGACTCGAGAGGTCCCGGGTTCGAATCTCGGTGGGGGCAGATGTTTGTGTGATGAACACCAGCATTCGTACTCCAGTCATGAATGTTTAATATGTGTTTCTATATAAATATACTTATATATGTATAGTATATGTATTCCATCCGTTACCCTAGTATCCCATAACACAAGCCTTACAGTGCTTACTTTGGGGCTAGGCTAATCGGTGTGAGTGTTGAAAAATATTTATTATTACATTTACAAAATTCGATTGAAAGATAAATAGCTCGATGATATCATCAAATAGCATGTCGCAAGAGAAGCTTCATTTAAGTAAAACAAGAATATTGCTCTTCGATACCTGTCTCAATTATTACTTCTTTAAATTTTTGAGTATTTACTAAAAGTGATCAAAATGAATTTAGTTTATTTAATTTGACTTATATGTAAAAAAAAGTATAACTTTATTTACTTCAATTTACAATTTGAGAAGAAACTGTTATAATTTTTCCCAACCCGGCAATGGTAGTGGCTGTGTAAAAGTGAACGCAGACTTGGCCGCACCGCACGCGCCGCAGTCTTCGCATTCGAATTCTTTATATGAAGTTCTATGCATCCTCGCATACCCACCCGCGTCGCCGCAGTCCCTGAAACAACCGAACTCCCCAAGCCGCAGCTGATGACGTCACCAACGCCGGCCCGCACGCAGCGGACGCTGCGGCTAGCGCGTCGCGGATGACGTCATTCGCAGCAATTGAATAAATGAAATCAAGTGCGATGCGTGCGGCGACAAGAACGAACGTATATTAAGCTAGCAGACCATGGTCGCAACGCGCACATCTAACCTACTGGGTATTTAGTTGCTAATTAGTTGCTAATTAGTTACACTATTCCCGATTTAGTTGCTCAACACCTGTAAAAGATACATGCGATCTGCTAGCTTAAGTCTTAACCTAGCAGACCACAATACTGTATCTTCGGTTCTCGTAAAGATATCGAAGTTCTGCAAACGGCATATTTAGTTGCTAATTAGTTGCTAATTAGTTACATTATTCCCGATTTAGTTGCTCAACACCTGTAAAAGATACATGCGATCTGCTAGCTTAAGTCTTAACCTAGCAGACCACAATACTGTATCTTCGGTTCTCGTAAAGATACCGAAGTTCTGCAAACGGCATATTTAGTTGCTAATTAGTTGCTGTAGGACAGCATTATTTGTTTTATCCCCCCATCATCCCTTAATTGCCGAACCAGCACCCACACTACCCCCGAAATACGAAAAATTTAAAAAGGGCTCATCAGAGAATATAAACTACGGCGTATTTCGTTGCTAATTAGTTGCTGCAAAATAGCGTTGCTTATAGTATTTAACTATCAACCCTTAACTCCAAATCAGCACTGCAACCACCCCCGAATAGGACGATATCGGAAAATTCTCGTAGGTGGAAAATAGACGCGGCATATTTAGTTGCTAATTAGTTGCTCGTCAAAAACGCAGATAAGAGTATTCTACAAACATCCCCTAACCTCAGATGCAACCCCTCTACTCACTTAGAAACAGTAGATAGTTGGAATTCGCACGCGGATGTTTAAAACTGCTGGATGTTCTGTTGCTAATTAGTTGCTCGCCAAAAACGCAGATAAGAGTATCAACCCTTAACTCCAAATCATCCCTGCAACCACCCCAGAATAGGACGATATCGGAAAATTCTCGTAGGTGGAAAATAGACGCGGCATATTTAGTTGCTAATTAGTTGCTCGTCAAAAACGCAGATAAGAGTATTCTACAAACATCTCCTAACCTCAGATGCAACCCCTCTACTCACTTAGAAACAGTAGATGGTTGGAATTCGCACGCGGATGTTTAAAACTGCTGGATGTTCTGTTGCTAATTAGTTGCTCGCCAAAAACGCAGATAAGAGTATCAACCCTTAACTCCAAATCATCCCTGCAACCACCCCAGAATAGGACGATATCGGAAAATTCTCGTAGGTGGAAAATAGACGCGGCATATTTAGTTGCTAATTAGTTGCTCGTCAAAAACGCAGATAAGAGTATTCTACAAACATCTCCTAACCTCAGATGCAACCCCTCTACTCACTTAGAAACAGTAGATGGTTGGAATTCGCACGCGGATGTTTAAAACTGCTGGATGTTCTGTTGCTAATTAGTTGCTCGCCAAAAACGCAGATAAGAGTATCAACCCTTAACTCCAGATCATCCCTGCAACCACCCCAGAATAGGACGATATCGGAAAATTCTCGTATGTGGAAAATAGACGCGGCATATTTAGTTGCTAATTAGTTGCTCGTCAAAAACGCAGATAAGAGTATTCTACAAACATCCCCTAACCTCAGATGCAACCCCTCTACTCACTTAGAAACAGTAGATGGTTGGAATTCGCACGCGGATGTTTAAAACTGCTGTGTGTGCAACTAATTAGCAACAGAACATCTGTTGCTAATTAGTTGCTCGCCAGAAACGCAGATAAGAGTATCCTACAATCATCCCCTAACCTCAGATCCACCCCCTCTGAGTAGTGCAACTAAATATCCCGCGTCTTTTTTCCACCTACGAGAATTTTCCGATATCGTCCTATTCTGGGGTAGGTGCAGGGATGATCTGGAGTTAAGGGTTGATAATCAAATATTATAAGCAACGATATTTTTCAGCAACTAATTAACAACAAAACATCCAGCAGTCTTAAACATCTGCGTGCGAATTTTAACCATCTACTGTTTCTAAGTGAGTAGAGTAGTTGCATCTGAGGTTAGGGGATGATTGTAGAATACTCATAACTGCGTTTTTGGCGAGCAACTAATTAGCAACTAAATATCCCGCGTCTTTTTTCCACCTACGAGAATTTTCCGATATCGTCCTATTCTGGGGTGGTTGCAGTGCTGATCTGGAGTTAAGGGTTGATAGTTAAATACTATAAGCAACGCTTTTTCGCAGCAACTAATTAGCAATAAAATATCCAGCAGTTCTAAACATCTGCGTTTGAATTCGAACCATCTACTATTTTTAAGTGAGTAGAGGGGATGGATCTGAGGTTAGGGGATGATTGTAGGATACTCTTATCTGCGTTTTTGGCGA